GTGGAGTCCCGCAGGGGTCAGTCCTTGGACCTATATTGTTTCTGGTATATGTAAATGATCTCCCAGAGGGTATAGATTCGTTCCTCTCAATGTTTGCCGACGATGCAAAAATTATGAGGAGGATTGAAACAGAGGATGATAATAGGAGGCTACAAGATGACCGAGATAGACTGAGTGAATGGTCCAACAAATGGCTGTTGAAGTTCAACCCGAGTAAATGCAAAGTAATGAAACTAGTCAGTAGAAACAGGAGGCCAGACACAGGATACAGAATAGGAGATGAAGTACTTAATGAAACAGACAGAGAGAAAGATCTAAGAGTTGATATCACACCAAACCTGTCTCCTGAAGCCCACATAAAGAGAATAACGTCTGCGGCATATGCGAGGCTGGCTAACATCAGAACGGCGTTCAGGAACCTGTGTAAGGAATCATTCAGAATCTTGTACACAACATATGTAAGACCAATCCTGGAATATGCGGTCCCAGCATGGAGCCCGTACCTTGTCAAGCACAAGACGAAGCTGGAAAAAGTACAAAGGTATGCTACTAGACTAGTCCCAGAACTAAGAGGCATGAGTTATGAGGAAAGGCTGCGAGAAATGCACCTTACGACACTGGAAGACAGAAGAGTAAGGGGGGGACATGATCACAACCTACAAAATCCTCAGGGGAATCGACCGGGTAAACAAGGATGAACTATTCAACACTGGAGGGACGCGAACAAGGGGACACAGGTGGAAGCTGAGTACCCAAATGAGCCACAGAGACATTAGAGAGAACTTTTTCAGTGTCAGAGTAGTTAGTAAATAGAATGCACTAGGAAGTGATGTGGTGGAGGCTGACTCCATACACAGTTTCAAATGTAGATATGATAGAGCCCAGTAGGCTCAGGAATCTGTACACCAGTTGATTGACGGTTGAGAGGTGGGACCAAAGAGCCAGAGCTCAATCCCCGCAAGCACAATTAGGTGAGTACAATTAGGTGAGTACACACACACACACACACACATGTGTGTGTGTGTCTCCCATGAAGATACTCATGGGAGACTTCAACCATGGGAAGATAGATTGGGCGAACAGAGACCCACATGGAGGCCCAGACACATGGAGAGCTAAGCTGCTGGATGTGGCAACAAGAAACTTTCTAAGTCAACACGTCAAGGAACCGACAAGAATGAGAGGAGGGGATGAACCAGCCTTGCTTGATCTGATATTTACCCTAAATGAGTCGGATATAAGGGAATTTAAGTTGGAAGCCCCATTGGGAATGAGTGATCATAGTGTATTGAGCTTTGAGTACCTGGTTGAGCTGAGAATTATCACCCCCAAAAAAGAACTGGGAACCAAAGGGCTGGCGTACCGAAAGGGAAACTATGGGGAAATGAATAAATTCCTATGGGATATACATTGGGATACAGAACTCGGAACCAAGTCCGTACAAGACATGATGGACTATGTCACCCAAAAATGTCAGGAGGTTGTAAGCAGGTTTGTCCCAGCCCGACAGGAAAAAACAGAGAAGCAAAGGAAGAATCCGTGGTTTAATAGGGAATGTATGAAAGCAAAGGAGCTGAACAAAAGGGCATGGAGGAACTTCCGTAATAACAGAACACCAGAAAGTAGAGAGAGATACCAGAGAACCAGGAACGAATATGTTAGTGTGAGAAGAGCAGCTGAGAAAAGGTATGAAAATGATATAGCTAATAAAGCCAAGACCAAACCAAAGCTACTACACAGTCAGATCAGGAGGAAGACAACAGTGAATGAACTGGTGATGAAACTTAGTGTGGGCGAGGACAGGTACACAGAGAATGACAAAGAGGTGTGTGAAGAACTCAACAAAAGATTCCAGGAGGTCTTTACAATAGAACAGGGAGATGTCACGGCGCTAGAAGAGGTGGCAGCAAACCAGGTGACCTTTGATAGGTTCGAAATTACAAGAGATGAGGTCAAGAAGCACCTATTGGAGCTGGATGTGAGAAAAGCTGGTGGGCCGGATGGAATCTCGCCATGGGTATTGAAAGAGTGTGCAGGAGCACTTTGCTTACCACTCTCCATAGTGTATAGTAGGTCACTGGAAACGGGAGACATACCAGAAATATGGAAGACAGCTAATGTAGTACCAATATACAAAAAGGGTGAAAGACAAGAGGCACTGAACTACAGGCCAGTGTCCTTAACTTGTATACCATGCAAGGTGATGGAGAAGATTGTGAGACAAAACCTAGTAACACATCTGGAGAGAAGAGACTTCATGACAACCCATCAACATGGGTTCAGGGAGGGTAAATCTTGCCTTACAGGCTTGATAGAATTCTACGATCAGGTGACAAAGATTAAGCAAGAAAGAGAAGGGTTGGCGGACTGCATTTTTTTGGACTGTCGAAAAGCCTTTGACACAGTACCCCATAAAAGGTTGATGCACAAGCTGGAGAAACAGGCAGGAGTAACTTGTAGGGCGCTCCAGTGGTTAAGGGAGTACCTAAGCAATAGGAAGCAGAGAGTTACAGTGAGGGGTGAGACCAAAGATTGGCATAAAGTCACCAGTGGAGTACCACAGGGCTCTGTACTCGGACCTATCCTGTTTCTGATATACGTAATTGATCTCCCAGAGGGTATAGACTCATTCCTCTCAATGTTTGCTGACGACGCCAAAATTATGAGAAGGATTAAGACAGAGGAGGACAGCTTGAGACTTCAAGGAGACCTGGACAAGCTGCATGAATGATCGAACAAATGGTTGTTAGGGTTTAACCCTAGCAAATGTAATGTAATGAAGATAGGTGTAGGGAGCAGGAGACCAGATACAAGGTATCATTTGGGAGATGAAATACTTCAAGAGTCAGAGAGAGAGAGAAACACCTGGGGGTTGATATCACGCCAGACCTGTCCCTTGAAGCTCATATCAAAAGGATAACATCAGCGGCATATGCCAGGTTGGCTAACATAAGAACGGCCTTTAGAAACTTGTGTAAAGAATCTTTCTGAACTTTGTATACAACATATGTCAGACCAATCGTGGAGTATGCGGCTCCAGGATGGCGTCCATATCTAGTCAAGCATAAGACTAAATTGGAAAAGGTTCAAAGGTTTGCCACCAGACTAGTACCCGAACTGAGGGGTATGAGCTACGAGGAGAGACTCCGGGAATTAAACCTCACGTCACTGGGAGACAGAAGAGTTAGAGGGGACATGATCACCACATACAAGATTCTCAGAGGAATTGATAGGGTAAATAAAGACAGGCTATTTAACACAAGGGGCACACGCACTAGGGGACGCAGGTGGAAATTGAGTGCCCAAATGAGCCATAGAGACGTTAGAAAGAGTTTTTTCAATGTCAGAGTAGTAGACAAATGGAATGCATTAGGAAGTGATGTGGTGGAGGCTGACTCCATACACAGCTACAAGTGTAGATTTGATAGAGCCCATTAGGCTCAGGAACCTGTACATTAGTTGACTGACAGTTGAGAGGCGGGCCCAAAGAGCCAGAGTTAATCCCCCCCCCCGCAAGCACAATTAGGTGAGTACACCCGCGCACGCGCGCGTGCTCTCTTTCATCTACAGTAATCCATAACAAGGCAAGGAGTCTATACTGATATTGAATACTAATGAGTCGCAAAATATTACATATATAAACTAAATTTCTGCACAGTGGAGGCCTGGTCGAGGACCGGGCCGCGGGGACGCTAAGCCCCGAAATCATCTCAAGATAACAGCTGGAATATGTTGCAGTTGTGTGATCTCCTTCCAGACCCCTCACAGTGTGGACACCTTCCAGACCCTCACAGTGTGGACACCTTCCAGACCCTCACAGTGTGGACACCTTCCAGACCCTCACAGTGTGGACACCTTCCAGACCCTCACAGTGTGGACACCTTCCAGACCCTCACAGTGTGGACACCTTCCAGACCCTCACAGTGTGGACACCTTCCAGACCCTCACAGTGTGGACACCTTCCAGACCCTCACAGTGTGGACACCTTCCAGACCCTCACAGTGTGGACACCTTCCAGACCCTCACAGTGTGGACACCTTCCAGACCCTCACAGTGTGGACACCTGCCAGACCCTCACAGTGTGGACACCTTCCAGACCCTCACAGTGTGGACACCTTCCAGACCCTCACAGTGTGGACACCTTCCAGACCCTCACAGTGTGGACACCTTCCAGACCCTCACAGTGTGGACACCTTCCAGACCCTCACAGTGTGGACACCTTCCAGACCCTCACAGTGTGGACACCTTCCAGACCCTCACAGTGTGGACACCTTCCAGACCCTCACAGTGTGGACACCTTCCAGACCCTCACAGTGTGGACACCTTCCAGACCCTCACAGTGTGGACACCTTCCAGACCCTCACAGTGTGGACACCTTCCAGACCCTCACAGTGTGGACACCTTCCAGACCCTCACAGTGTGGACACCTTCCAGACCCTCACAGTGTGGACACCTTCCAGACCCTCACAGTGTGGACACCTTCCAGACCCTCACAGTGTGGACACCCTACAGGTCTCGGGCAGCTGGTGAGCGCGGGCAGATTGGAAACGATCTTCACATATTATATATTTTGAGTAAGGAATTTCTTATAAATTTTATGCCATGCTTTGTTCAGCAGTGAGAGAGAGAGAGAGAGAGAGAGAGAGAGAGAGAGAGAGAGAGAGAGAGAGAGAGAGAGAGAGAGAGAGAGAGGAGAGAGAGAGAGAGAGAGAGAGAGAGAGAGAGAGAGAGAGAGAGAGAGAGAGAGAGAGAGAGAGAGAGAGAGAGAGAAATAATTGAGGGATGGAGGAAATGCAGGTGAAGAGAGTGAGCAGAACAAGAACAACAGAGCAAGACTGAACAGTGAACATAATAGAGCGGAGGGAACTATGGAAGTATCATGAGAAAGCGCCAAGTCATTACGACTATAGAGCAAGAGGTTACAGGAAGGACAAGACTGACTATAAGTCATGTCAGTAATGCTGTACCACGACGCTAGGGTGAGAGCCGACAGTACTCACGTCTATGGGCGGCAGGCAGGGCACCAGCGGCAGGGTGTCCGTCCTGACGGTGCCGCTGAAGGGCAGGTAGCGGGTGTGGACGGGCAGGCGGCGGGTGGCACACACCTGGATGCAGTCGTCGCCAGGTGGCACCGGTAGACGGCCCAGCGGCAGCGCCCCCAGAGGGTTTAAAGCTGGTGCCAGAGAGGTGAGAGGCGACGACAGAGGGCCAAATGATGGGGTGAGGTGGTCCACGAAGGGTCCTCCAGGCAGGGGGGGATGAGGCGGCACTCTGGGGGCCAGATGAGGCGGCACCCTGGGGGCCAGGTGGGGCAGCAGGTGCAGAAGGGACGCCACTCTGGCCTGCTGCTGCTGTGTCTCCACCTTCAGGGCAAACTCCGCCGGCAGGAGGACGCACGTCTCCACCAGGGGAGTGCCGTCCGCTAGCACCATCTTGCCGGCAGCAAGTGGCGGCGCGGCGGCACTCTGATGAACAACCAACATCTGGCACTCACGCACTCACTGCCTTAAGCGTTCCTTTCGAGTTCACGTGTCTTTTCCCGCCCATATTGTGACACGAGTGGCAGTGTTGGGCGCCACTCTACGCTCGCTAGCATGCACCTGGTCCTGTGTGAGGCAAACATTAACATGTAAACACGACACGGAAAAATGGGCACTTTCGATGAGGCTCATGCTCCCCCCCCCCTCACTGGCCAGGTCTACCATCCGCTCATTGGTCAGGCCTAATATACACACACTGAGGACTTTAGACACCACACCCCCAACCATAACCACACCCCCAACCATAACCACACCCCCAACCATAACCACACCCCCAACCATAACCACACCCCCAACCATAACCAGACCCCCAACTATAACCACACCCCAACCATAACTACACCATAACCATAACCACACCCCCAACCATAACTACACCCCCACCATAACCACACCCCCAACCATAACCACACCCCCAACCATAACTACACCCCCAACCATAACCACACCCCCAACCATAACCACACCCCCAACCATTACCACACCCCCAACCATAACCACACCCCCAACCATAACCACACCCCCAACCATTACCACACCCCCAACTATAACCACTCCACCAACCATAACCACACCACCAACCATAACCACACCCCCAACTATAACCACTCCACCAACCATAACCACACCACCAACCATAACCACACCACCAACCATAACCACACCCCCAACCATAACCACACCCCCAACCATAACCACACCCCCAACCATAACCACACCCCCAACCATAACCACACCACCAACCATAACCACACCCCCAACCATAACCACACCCCCAACCATAACCACACCCCCAACCATAACCACACCACCAACCATAACCACACCACCAACCATAGCCACACCACCAACCATAAGTGGTTATGGTTGTGGGAGGATTACCATCACAGTTGCCACAACTAAGGTGGAAATATTAGCAGTATACTAAGGAGAAGCAAGAACAGGAGCAAGAAAAGGAGCTTCGTCAAGAGGAAAAAAAAAGAGCAGTAACAGAGAGCGGACCTTCATTAGAGAGACACGGGGACCAATGAGTGAAAGATCACGAGCAGCAGCAGGAGGAGAAACATTCCTGGGACAAGATTTTGGCGGGTGGACCAATCAGATGGTTCAGCCCGCTATGTGTACCCGGTGTTGGTGGACGGGCGTGGCCCTCTTCCCGTTCTTACACCCCTGTGTCTCTGTCCCTGTATCTGTCTCTCTCTCTCTCTCTCTCTCTCTCTCTCTCTCTCTCTCTCTCTCTCACTTTTCTGTCTCGATATCTCTGCCTCTCGCTCTAATTCTTTCTTTCTCTTATGGGTCTTTGTCTTTTTTTCTCTTTCATTCCAAATCACTATCACCCAGTCACTTTCTCTCACGCCAATTTGCGTATTCACTTGCGTTTGTCGGCTGCGGTAGGAGCATGACGGCCCATCAGCGGCGCCGTGTTGTTCAGACACGCGACACCGGGCGGGCTCTCAGCGCAGACTCTCTCTCCCGGCAGCCTCCCGCCCAGTGTAACAAGTTTGAAGTTGAATTAGATCTAGGTATCCCCATCTCTGCTGTCAAAACTGTATTGGTCCAAATATTCAGATCTGATAGGAAAGAACTTACTGACTCCCAACGACCTGAAAGTACTAGTATAAAAAGCTATGATTTGTTCAGATCTGAAACCTACATCTATGGACAGCACAAAACGTCCACTAGACTGTGCGACACAGTGGTTGCAAGGGTCAGGTTGGGTTACCGTTACCTGTGGCAGGTGGCTGCAGGTGACGGGTCTCCCAATCCTGAGCACTCCAGTTGCAAACTCTGTGAGCAGGAACTACGGCATGATCTCCCGCACTACATCACTGAATGCCCAGTTATTAGACCTTTCAGACCAGTTGGCATGAGGTACCTGGAGCTTTGCAATTACTTTATTCACTCTCGTATTCTTGAAGATATCCTCACAGTATACCCAAAATTTGCCAGTGCAGGCTATTAAACACATGGCCCTGTATGACTAACCATCCTGCGAGATGGGGACTTGTATTACCACTGCTACCTTATTCAATCTTGTGTTGTTGATATCCTCAAAATGCATCCGGAGTCTGCCAGTGCAGACCGCTTATCACATGTCTCTGTATGACTAACCATCCTGTGTGATGGGGATTTTATAGCATCACCTAGTTAGCTTTTTTGACACACTGTACTCCACTTCATATAGTCTAGGGTAGCTGCACTAATGCAGATGTACCTCATAACTTAATAAAAAAAAAAAAAAAAAAAAAAAAGCCCAGGTCCCCATCCTCCGAGATGGGGACCTTCAGTATCACAGCTCCATTATTCATTCTTGTGTTCATGATGATATCCTCATAATAATAATCATATCCACATATTCACTCTTGTGTTCATGATGATATCCTCATAATAATAATCATATCCACATATTCACTCTTGTGTTCATGATGATATCCTCATATTCACTCTTGTGTTCATGATGATATGTTCATAATAATTATATCCTCATATTCACTCTTGTGTTCATGATGATATCCTCATAATAATCATATCCTCATATTCACTCTTGTGTTCATGATGATATCCTCATAATAATAATCATATCCTCATATTCACTCTTGTGTTCATGATGATATCCTCATATTCACTCTTGTGTTCATGATGATATGTTCATAATAATTATATCCTCATATTCACTCTTGTGTTCATGATGATATCCTCATAATAATCATATCCTCATATTCACTCTTGTGTTCATGATGATATCCTCATAATAATCATATCCTCATATTCACTCTTGTGTTCATGATGATATCTTCATAATGCATCCAGTAGTCTGCCAGTGCAGACTACTGATCACATGCCTCTGTATGACTAACCATCCTGTGTGATGGGGATTTTTAGCATCACGTAGCTAGCTTTTTGACACACTGTACACCCCCTTCATTTAGACTTGGGTAGCTGCACATATGCTGATATACATAAATGTGTTAATAACAAAAATAACAGGTGGGCAGCTCTTTAGCATCACATGACTACTTCTTAGCACATGTAGTGTGGCCCTTCAGGCAGCTCTGGGGTAGCTGTGTAACTGTGCATGTACCTGTGTAACTGTGCTCATGAAGACAAGTGATTTTGGGGGTTTTGAGAGGCACTGAGATCATGAACGTAAGTGATGAATTGAAACAAATAGGATTACATATGATTGAAACTGGGTCATTGATCTCACACACACACACACACTGCCTTATTGAACGTCCAGTCATCAGAGCCTTGAGACCTGCTGGTATGAGGTACCTGCTTGGGCTGTGTAATTACTTTATCTATTCTTGAGGATGTCCTCATAATGTATGCATGTTTTGTCAGTGCCGGCTAGTTACATTTCTCTATATCACTACCCATACATGGCCCTATATCACTACCCATACATGGCCCTATATCACTACCCATACATGGCCCTATATCACTACCCATATGCAGACGATGAATCACAATAACGTGGCTGAAGTATGTTGACCAGACCACACACTAGAAGGTGAAGGGACGACGACGTTTCGGTCCGTCCTGGACCATTCTCAAGTCGATTATGAAAACGACTTGAAAACGACAAGTCGAAACGTCGTCGTCCCTTCATCTTCTAGTTTGTGGTCTGGTCAACATCACTACCCATACATGCCCCTATATAACTACCCATACATGGTCCTATATCACTACCCATACATGCCCCTATATCACTACCCATACATGTCCCTATATTACTACCCATACATGCCCCTATATCACTACCCATACATGTCCCTATATCACTACCCATACATGTCCCTATATCACTACCCATACATGTCCCTATATCACTACCCATACATGGTCCTATATCACTACCCATACATGCCCCTATATCACTACCCATACATGTCCCTATATCACTACCCATATATGTCCCTATATCACTACCCATACATGCCCCTATATCACTACCCATACATGCCCCTATATCACTACCCATACATGTCCCTATATCACTACCCATACATGTCCCTATATCACTACCCATACATGTCCCTATATCACTACCCATACATGTCCCTATATCACTACCCATACATGCCCCTATATCACTACCCATACATGCCCCTATATCACTACCTATACATGCCCCTATATCACTACCCATACATGTCCCTATATCACTACCCATACATGTCCCTATATCACTACCCATACATGGTCCTATATCACTACCCATACATGCTCCTATATCACTACCCATACATGTCCCTATATCACTACCCATATATGTCCCTATATCACTACCCATATATGTCCCTATATCACTACCCATACATGCCCCTATATCACTACCCATACATGTCCCTATATCACTACCCATACATGTCCCTATATCACTACCCATACATGTCCCTATATCACTACCCATACATGTCCCTATATCACTACCCATACATGTCCCTATATCACTACCCATACATGGCCCTATATCACTACCCCATACATGCCCCTATATCACTACCCATACATAGCCCTATATCACTACCCATACATGGCCCTATATCACTACCCATACATGCCCCTATATCACTACCCATACATGTCCCTATATCACTACCCATACATGTCCCTATATCACTACCCATACATGTCCCTATATCACTACCCATACATGTCCCTATATCACTAGCCATACATGTCCCTATATCACTACCCATACATGTCCCTATATCACTACCCATACATGTCCCTATATCACTACCCATACATGTCCCTATATCACTACCCATACATGTCCCTATATCACTACCCATACATGTCCCTATATCACTACCCATACATGTCCCTATATCACTACCCATACATGTCCCTATATCACTACCCATACATGTCCCCATATCACTACCCATACATGTCCCTATATCACTACCCATACATGTCCCTATATCACTAACCCATACATGTCCCTATATCACTACCCATACATGTCCCTATATCACTACCCATACATGTCCCTATATCACTACCCATACATGTCCCTATATCACTACCCATACATGTCCCTATATCACTACCCA